GAGTTGCAGTTGTTGAGATTTATGGTGTTGTTTATTCGTTCAGTCGCTTCCGACTCTTCATGACCTCATGGACCAGCCCACACCAGAGCTCCCTGTCAGCCGTCACCACCCCCAGCTCCTTCAGAGTCAAGCCAGTCATTTCAAGGATACCATCCATCCATCTTGCCCTTGGTTTGCCCCTCTTCCTTTTTTCCTTCCATTTTCCCAAGTATCATTGGCTTCTCTAAGCTTTCCTGTCTTTTCAGGAAATTGGGATTTATAGTTCCCCTACAATCAAAGGGCATTCTGAACCCAACCAATGACAGAATTGGGCCAAATTTCCCACACAGAACCCCCATGACCAGGGGCGGCTCAACCATTACGCAAAGTAAGCATTTGCAGTATAGTTGATTTTGCCCAGGGGTGCTCTTGGGGGAAAATAGACCTTGACTTATGCGAGTTGTAGTTACTGGGATGTATAGTTCACTTAAAATCAAAGAGCATTCTGAACTCCACCAGTGATGGAATTGAACCAAATATGGCACACAGAACTCCCATGACGAACAGAAAATATATATCAATGATTGGTTGGGGGGGGGGGGCAAAATACTGTTTGCTTACCATTGAAAATTACCTAGGGCCGCCTCTGCCCATGACCAACAGAAAATAGTGTTTTCTGATGGTCATTGGTGACCCCTCTGAAACCCCCTCGCGACCCCACAGTGGTCCTGATCCCCAGGTTGAGAAATGCTGCTTTGATGGTTGCTCAGAAGATGAAATTTCAATGGGAGTTGAATATCAGGCAATCAGGTAACACAATACCTCTTGAAATTCCTTCTTTTACACAACCACTAAAAGGAAAGGAATACACTCCAGTTTTCAATCTGGCAACCCAAAAGATGGATACTTTCAGGTGGAGTTTTGAGGCATCTGTATTCACTTTTCATTACACTCTTCAACTCTGCTGGTACTATTACAAGCTTCTGTTGTTGAAGGAATGCCACTGCAGAGATCTGGAGTAAATGATCTTGTCATACTTACCAGATTCTGGCTGTATTCAAGGTCACTAAGGTCACTAAGCTAGACACTGAGCATTCAAAGTGGATGGTGCACTTTCCCTCCAGCTATGTGATTCCTTCCAAACTTTGTGCCTGAGCAATCAGACTTGCAAATGAAGCTGTATTTACTTCACAAAGAGCAGCCGTCAAACAAGCTAATTTGCGAAGTGTCAAGGTGAAGAATACTCGTGTTGGAACAATTAGATGTCTTTTATCAATTAAGAAACCGGCACTCCTAAATGCGGAACCAATCACCTTGTCCACTTGAACCACAAGGAAGCACGTATAGAGACAGAGGGATGAATCAGAGCAAAGACCCATTCCATTCAGCCCTTTGGGTTGAATCCAAATTATGTTTGAGTAAATCTATTTTTTAAAAAACTAGCGTAGGTTAGTCATTCCTCTCCCCAAAATGCCCGATGTTGGATATTTCACCAGTAGAGCGGAGATAGCCTTTACATGTTTATTCCAAGATCTGGCCTTCCGAGATAAACTCCTATTTATGGAGACTGTGTTTAGCATTTGTGGCCTGGAATTGTCTAGGGAATGTGGAGTCACGTAACCTGGATTAATGCAAAATGATGGATACAAGTCGGATTGCACAGACACCATCTTGGGTTGCTTAAGGCAGGAGTCGTACCTCCCTTCCTGAGGATACTTCACTAGACAGCCTTGCACAAGGGAATGGGGGAGACCATATGGGCAGGCAGCTGTGTCCGGCTCTGCACGGGAGCAAACTCTTTCTCAGCCTTTCCAAAGAAAATTTCAGTGGGAAAACCCTACTTTACACATACACAGGAAGACAGATGATGAAAGTTTATAAAACTACTAGCATTGCTGTGGCCCAGTCTGTGTATATGTTTTATGTGTGTGATATCGAGCAAGAATTTAGGGGTCTTTGCCAGGAGGCAGAGACCGGCCAGACCCATCAAAGAGAGTCCTTTCAGCCCTGGTGAGAAAAGAAGCACCCAATTGAGTTTTCCCTGATTTTCCAATAAAAAGTCACACCAAGTTGAAGAAAATGCCACCGAGTTGCCTTTATTTCATTCCAGCTGGAAAGGATGACGATTGCAGTAAGTCTGCCAAACAAATCGACATGTCTGCTAGGCACGTAAATACAGAATATATAGATTTCAGATTCAAAAGTTTCCATGCCCACTCCCTGAGCCAGCTTCGTTTTGATTGGCTGTGACGTTGACAAGCCAGCAGCATAGCCAGTGGTGTCCTGAGCTCTGCTTTGGCCTCTCAGCCAATGGAGTGGAAGGGAGGCGGGCAACAGGAAAACAATGAAGAAATGTCCGGTTGACTGGTTTAAATGGCTAATGTTTGCAAAATGGCCCATCGATTGCGTAAGCCCTTGAGCTGGCCAGGGTTTATTGTTTAAGTTCATTGGAATCATCATCTGTAGTCTGGCCTAAATGGCCAGATACTTTGTTTTATCATCTGGAGACATGGGGTGCGTTGATGAACTTTGGAACTGGTTTCAGCCAGCAGGGCTGACATAATGGAAGAAGTTGTAGTAAAGTCCTAATTTCTTGCAGACAAGAAATCACCTTCCAGCAGTCACCAGCCAATCCCTCTCCAATGCCAGAAATACAGCTTAATGGTGTAACATTAGAAAATGTTGATAATTTCCGCTACCTTGGCAGCCACCTCTCCACTAAAGTCAACATTGACACTGAAATACAACACCATTTGAGCTCTGTGAGTGCAGCATTTTTACAAATGAAGCACTGAGTGTTTGAGGACAGGGACATCCGTAGGGATCTCAAGGTGCTTGTTTATAAAGCTATTGTCCTCCCAACCCTGCTATACGCCTGTGAGACGTGGACTGTCTACAGACATCACATGCAACTCCTGGAACGATTCCATCAGCGTTGCCTCCGGGAAATCCTGCAAATCTCTTGGGAAGACAAGTTGACAAATGTCATTGTGTTGGAAGAAGCAAAGATCACCAGTATTGAAGCGATGGTCCCCGCCATCAACTCCGCTGGACCAGCTACGTTGTCCAGATGCCCGGCCATGGTCTCACAAAGCAGTTGCTCTACTCTTAAGAACGGAAAACGGAATGTTGGTGGGCAGGAAAAGAGATTTAAAGATGGGCTCAAAGCCAACCTTAAAAAACTGGCATAGACACTGAGAACTGGGAAGCCCTGGCCCTTGAATGCTCCAGCTGGAGGACAGCTGTGACCAGCAGTGGCACGAATGGAGGGCGAAAGAGAGAAATGTGCCAAGAGGAAGGTGCATCAAGCCAACCTTGACCGGGACCGCCTTCTACCTGGAAACCAATGCCCTCACTGCGGGAGAAGATGCAGATCAAGAATAGTGCTCCACAGCCACCTACGGACCCACCAGTACACTGATTTTGGAAGACTATCCTACTAAGACAATGAGGGATCACATAAGTAAGTAAGTATATGGCAGTATAGAAAGAGCCTGCCACTCTCAGGAGCCATCCCTGCCCCAAAGTTTGTGAAGACCTTGAAAAGCTCAACAAGTACCATCTTTTTCCACGTTTTATTTTAACCACAACACTTAATAAATGCTGGTTTTACTTGGTGGTAACAGCTATTCTTCCCCATAAACATCTATAATTAAACATTTCCCTCCTTCCTTATGTATATCTCTCAGCAGGGTTATATTTTGACTGCTGGCTGCAAGATATGCTACAATGCTCCCAAAACTGAAAGTGTGAGATGTTTCATTGGCAGGTCTCACTCCAGCAGAGGTGATAATATAGTCAAGGTGATAGCAATACCTGAGAAGAAATACTCATGTGTGCAGTGACCTGGATAAACCATGATGCTCAAAATGTTGCAGCAGAGAGCACTGGGCAAACTGAAGCACGGTTCTTGGTAGTCTAAATCACTGCTTCTTAAACTGTGGTCCCGACAACAAATGGGGTTCCTTCAGCTCAATGTTAGGGTCACGAAAAATGCGGAAGCAGTCAAAAGTTTCAGAATGCCACCCATTTACAAAAATATATTAGCAACAACATGCAGTGTTTACAATGGAGCCTGCAGAAAATGCTTCAGCTGTACTTCACAAAGTTTAGCAAGCCTTACAAATAATGATTTATTACACGACTAGTTTGGGGACCCAGCAGTGCCCAGGCTATTTGAAAAAGGCATTGCTTGTTTTGGGATATTAGGTATTAACAGTTTGGAAATTTGTAGCTCTATTTCTTAGAAAGAAGTTAATCTTTCCTGTTGTTTTTTAATGAATGCTCCTATTAGAAAGTGCATATGGATGTGGGTGAACTACAATTTCCAAAAATCATGGGCCAATCACAACAAACCCCACGAATATGCAGTCAGCCATGTTGGGTCTGTGTGCCAAGTGTGGTCCAGATCTGACTGGGATCAGTGGTCTCTGGATAAGGGTGAACTACAACTCCCAAAATCAAGGCCCATTCCCACAAATCCCTGCAGTTTGTTCAGGTGGTCGTGGGGCTTCTCTGTGCCAAGTGTGATCCCGGCCCATGGTCAGTGGGGGTCACAGTTTGTTGTATACGGATGAACTATAACTCCCAAAATCAAGGTCAATGTCCCCCAAAGGTCTCCAGTATGTTCAGGTGGTCACGAGGTTTCTCTATGCCAAATGTGGTCCTGGTCCATTGCTGGTGGGGGTCACAGTATGCCTGGATCCAGGTGAACTACAACTCCCAAAATCAAGACCCATTCCCACAAACCCCTGCAGTAAATCAATTTCAATGTCCCCCTTCTTGCCACTGAACTGTTAAGACGTGCTGAACTGTTGGGGCTAATGACTGATTACAACAGAGATTCGCAACGTTAGGCTCTTTCAATGATTTTGTTGAACTTCAACTCCCAAAATCCCTTGCCATTGCTTCCGCCGGGTAGCGCTTCTGGGAACTGAAGTCCAAAGGGGTGAAGACGCAAATGTTGAGAACCATTGGATTAGAGGAAACGGGGCGGGGCTTGTGGAAGACGAACCGACCAATCGGAAGTGGGCGAGTAAAGATTTGAACTGGAGCGGGGGAGAAAACTGAATCGGTGTGAGGGATTGCGGTAAGTGGAGGGGGGGGGGGGGGGGGGGGTGATATTGTTGTTCATGCCTTTGTTATGGGGACAGAAGATCCTTCAGGATCTCCTCCTTTTATAAACCTGGCAATGGAAGGAGACTCTTGATGGGAGGAGAGTGGAAGCAGTGTGGACAAGGGTGCATCTACACTGTGGAATCAACGCGGTTTGACAGCACTTTAACTGCCATGCCTCAATGCTATGGAATCCTAGGATGTGTAGTTTAATGAGGCACCAGCATTCTTTGACAAAGAAGGCTAAAGACCTTGTAAAACTACAATTCCCATGATTCTATAGCAATTGAGTCATGGCAGTTAAAATGGGGTCAGGCTAACAATTCTATAGTGTGGACCCAAATGGCCAGAATGGTGCTTTCCTGCTGTCAGTTAAGCTCAGGGTCCTTCCACACAGCCCTATATCCCAGAATATCAAGGCAGAAAAACCCACAATATCTGCTTTGAACTGGGTTATCTGAGTCCACACTGCCATATATTCCAGTTGAAATGTGGGATTTTATTAATCCAAAGCATCATTTTAGGGTCCTTCCACACAGCTGAATAAAATCCCACATTTTCTGCCTTGAACTGGAATATATGGTATTATTTATGACATGTACATGCCGCCCTTCTCGTCCTGAAGGGGACTCAGAGCGGCTTACAAGATATATATATGCGTACAATATATTATATTATTAGAATAGTACAATATCAGTATTAAATATTACTATATCGTACTATACCATTATATTTGGATTTTATATTACAGTGTAGAATCATAGAATCAAAGAGTTGGAAGAGACCTCATGGGCCATCCAGTCCAACCCCCTGCCAAGAAGCAGGAATATTGCATTCAAATCACCCCTGACAGATGGCCATCCAGCCTCTGTTTAAAAGCTTCCAAAGAAGGAGCCTCCACCACACTCCGGGGCAGAGAGTTCCACTGCTGAACGGCTCTCACAGTCAGGAAGTTCTTCTTCGTGTTCAGATGAAATCTCCTCTCTTGTAGTTTGAAGCCATTGTTCCGCGTCCTAGTCTGCAAGGAAGCAGAAAACAAGCTTGCTCCCTCCTCTCTGTTGCTTCCTCTCACATATTTATACATTGCTACCATATCTCCTCTCAGCCTTCTCTTCTTCAGGCTAAACATGCCCAGTTCCCTAAGCCGCTCCTCGTAGGGCTTGTTCTCCAGACCCTTGATCATTTTAGTCGCCCTCCTCTGGACACATTCCAGCTTGTCAATATCTCTCTTGAATTGTGGTGCCCAGAATTGGACATCCAATGCCTTGTTACAATGAAATACAATGAGACACAAATACACAGGCAAAGGCTTCTCCTTTCATTTCCAGCTCTGGAGGTGGTGCTCATCTCCATTTCCAAGCCAAGGAAACTGCGTTGTCTGTAGACATCTGGTTGTGTGGCCGGCACGACTGAATGGAGCATCATATTTTCTTTTCTGTCAAGGCAGTATGCAATAAATAGATGGGCAACAGGGCCAAGTGTATAGGCCGAGAGGGGCACAAGGGCCATCACACACACAAAAGACAGGACAGTGGGATGCTACTACTGTATATTATATTTTTCTTTGCTGCCACCAATTTATTATTAAAGTTCCATTTGCTGCAACCTTTTTATTGTTCTCCAGACCCTTGATCATTTTAGTCGCCCTCCTCTGGACACATTCCAGCTTGTCAATATCTCTCTTGAATTGCGGTGCCCAGAATTGGACACAATATTCCAGGTGTGGTCTAACCAAATCAGAATAGAGCATGGGGAGCATGACTTCCCTAGATCTAGACACTATGCTCCTATTGATGCAGGCCAAAATCCCATTGGCCTTTTTTGTCGCCACATCACATTGTTGGCTCATGTTTAAGTTGTTGTCTACGAGGACTCCAAGATCTTTTTCACACGTACTGCTCTCAAGCCAGGCGTCCCCCATTCTGTATTTTTGCATTTTGTTTTTTCTGCCTACGTGGAATATCTTGCATTTGTCACTGCTGAACTTCATTTTGTTAGTTTTGGCCCATCTCTCTAATCTGTCAAGATCATTTTGAATCCTGTTCCTGTCCTCTGGAGTATTGGCTATCCCTTCCAATTTGGTGTCGTCTGCAAACTTGATGATCCTGCCTTCTAGCCCTTCATCTAAGTCACTAATAAATATGTTGAACAGGATCGGGCCCAGGACGGAACCCTGCGGCACTCCACTTGTCACTTCTTTCCAGGATGAAGAGGATGTGTAGAAGGGACCAAAGTCCCTGTCCTATTGGGACAGTGGAATGTATTCTAATGCTCCCTGCACCATCCTTCCATCTTATGGCTTCCAGTGTTGCTTTGCCTCATAGCTCCAGACTGTCAGCTGCAAAAATGCTGGGGAATATGTATGATGTTTAGAATCCCCCAGTGGCGCGACAGGTTAAACCGTTGAGCTGCTGAACTTGCTGACTGAAAGATCGGCAGTTCGAATGCCCAGCTTCTGCCAACCTAGCAGTTCAAAAACATGCAAATGTGAGTAGATCAAAAGGTAATGCTCCGGCAGGAAGGTAACAGCGCCCCATGCAGTCCTGCTGGCCACATGACCTAGGAGGCGTCTATGGACAACGCCGGCCATTTGGCTTTGAAATGGAGATGAGCACCACCCCTAGAGTCAGACACGACTAGACTTAATGTCAAGGGGAAATCTTTACCTTTAGTTATATATGATAGCCTTAGAAAGTTTCAATATATATTTTACCATTGACAGTCTAGTATCTAAATGTTTAACACCATTTTAATTATCTTATTCAATATTGGGTTTTAAACTTTTTTTGACATTGTTTCTTAATACTGGATGTGTGTGTAACCTGATGTTTTTATATTTATGTACATGTGCTTGTACATGTGTGCGTACTCTGACATTTGCACACCCTGTCACTTGTACCTTTTGATGCTGGTCATTGACCGTAATAAATGTTTATTTATTATATGATAGCAGAAAGATGAGTGTTTTTACAGAACATGGAAGTGTAGAAAGGCTGATTATGATGATGACGATAATAAATCTTTATTTATATGCCGCTTTTCTCCCACAGTGGGGACCCAAAGCGGCTTACAACATGTTAAGAATACAATACAAAACCAAGCAGCAGTCAAACATATAAATATAAAAAACTAGCTGTCCCCTGCCACGCGTTGCTGTGGCCCAGTCTGGTGATCTGGAAAACAAAGTAATGGTTTCTAATATATATAAAATTCCTTTATGCTTATGGGTAAACCGTATTTCGTGTTGTTTCTATGTCAGTGTTGATGTGGAGATTGTCTGGTTTGCCTACTCTGAAACAAGCAACATATCATTGTCCTTCTTTAGGGGTCCCTTTCAAATCTATGATATTATATATCTCTCTGTGTGTGAATCATATATATCTATCGATATCTATGGCTGGATGGCTCTTTATTGGAAGGGCTTTGATTCCATTTTCTTGCCCTGGTGAAGGAAGTTGGACTGGATGGCCTTAAATATTTTCTGTTGGTCATGGGGGTTCAGTGTGGGAAGTTTGGCCCAATTCTATCATTGGTGGGGTTCTGAATGCTCTTTGCAGTAACTACAACTCCCAAATGTCAAGGCCTATTTTCCCCAAACTCCATCTGTGTTCATATTTGGGCATATGGAGTATTTGTGCCGAGTTTGGTTCAGATTCATCCTTGTTTGAGTCCACAGTGCTCTCTGGATGTAGGTGAACTACAACTCCCAAACTCAAGGTCAGTGCCCACCAAACCTTTCTAGTGTTTTCTGTTGGTCATGGGAGTCCTGTCTGCCAAGATTGGTCCATTTCCATCATTGGTGGAGTTCAAAATGCTCTCTGATTGTAGGTGAACTATAAATCCCAGCAACTCCCAAATGACAAACTTAATTTTTTTGAGTGGAGAACATATATTGTTGTTGTGTTGTTTATTGATGTATTGGGTCTCGGCCTCTTGTACGCCGCACCGAGTCCTTCGGGAGATGGTAGCGGGTTATAAATAAAGGATTATTATTATTATTATTATTATTATTATTATTATTATTATTATTATTGGGTTGTTAGTTGTATGCTGTCCAAATTTGGTGTCAATTCCCCCAGTGGTTTTTGAGTTCTGTTGATCCCATAAACGAACATTACATTTTTATTTATATAGATTGTAAGCAATCAAGATAAAACATAAATAGGCATTTAAAATTAATATTAAATTAAAATTAAATTAATATACATTATTGTACTATCCTGACATATTTCATTGCACGTAACATCGCCCAGTGAAGCTTGATGTGACTGGACCTTATGAAACAAGCTTGAAACACATGAGAGGTACAGACCTTTAATGGATCTCGGCTATAGCAACTCTGAGCTCTTTGTAGAAAAACTGTAATGCCAATGTCATAATTATCCTCTCTCATACACACATATATACATATTTAATCTAATTGAAGTTAATAAGAACATGTCAATCCCCAAAACAACTAAAAGTAAAAAATAATCATTATTTCTGTGCATTGTTTGTTACCAGCTTCTGGCTAATGGTGATTGCCTCTAGTTGACTACACAAAGATTTTTGTCTTTTGAAAGCAAATTGATTCCCCCTCCCTTTCCAAATCAATTGCACTGATACATGAGGACAGACAGGGAGGCTTGTAAACACTTCCCTTAGGCCACATCGACGTTGCTTTCAAATAAGGTTATTATCACACAAAACCTGCAAGTTTAGAATGGATCTACACTGCCATATAATCCAGGTTTCTGCTTTGAACTGGATTATATATTATGAATGACTTTTCAATAATAATGATAGACGTCTTCCATCCTGGATCCATCTCAGTTTCCTGGCCAGATGTTGATTCTTCTTGATTGGTGTTGATCTTATGTTGACTTCCTTCTTAACATTGTAAACATTTCTCTTATCGCTGTCCCAATTCTTATCAGAGTTTACTTTTCAGCTCTAATTAGCAACTTTTAATTATAGTCCAGCAAGCAGGTAGTTAGCCATTACAGGCCTTAATATTATACTGGTGTCTCCAAAATTATTAGCTCCATTCATACATTCACCTTCCATTCTTCCATTCATTCCCACACATCATTTTAAATTCACATTTCACATTGAATTTCTTGTGACACAGTGTAGACTCAGTGTGGATGATCTGCTCTGATAATATGAAAGTATAGAAGGCCTGGGAGGAGTTCAGAGACTTTCCCTCCTGTTTTAGCTTAATAGTGTCTTGCAGTGTTGTCCATACACAGAGGCGGCCCTAGGTAATTTTCAATAGTAAGCAAACAGTATTTTGGCACCCCCCCCCCCAACCAATCATTGATATATATTTTCTGTTCGTCATGGGAGTTCTGTGTGCCATATTTGGTTCAATTCCATCATTGGTGGAGTTCAGAATGCTCTTTGATTGTAGGTGAACTATACATCCCAGTAACTACAACTTGCATATGTCAAGGTCTATTTTCCCCCAAGAGCACCTCAAGAGCGCCCCTGGGCAAAATCAACTATACTGCAAATGCTTACTTTGTGTAATGGGTTGAGCCGCCTCTGCCCTCCGGAGATGCCCGCCTTTCCTGAAGGTAGGCGCAAAAACAAAGGAGGGAGCGGAGGTGGGAGATACCTCCAGCCGGAGGGGCTCTCTCTCTCTCCTCTCTTGGTCCCAATGGCTGAGGAGAAAGTCAGGAGAAGAGGCGACTTTTGGTGCGCACGCCGGGGTCTTCAGGCACGTCTCTGGACCCGAAGCAGGCCAGGCAAGGGAGCAAGTGCGGCGTGGTGGCTCCGCCCCTTGGCCCACCCACGGATTGGGGAAAGGAGAGGAGCGCGAGGTGGGTGGAGCGCTGGGGGCTCGGGAAAGGGAGCAGGTCATGGGGAAGGGGTCGAACGCGGAGAACGATTGAGCACCGGCTCCGCGTGCGCACCCGGTGGCCGGGTGGAGCAGGAACGAGAGGGACTAGGTGAGGCTCTAGGGCCCGGCCCCTTTGGGAAGAGGATTGCCCGGCAGCGAGGCAAGGAAGCCAAGGCTCCCCCCGGACTGCTAGGGCTGCTGTAAGCTGAGGGGGTGCTCCTCAAGTGGCGGTCAAGGGGCATTTACAGAGGTGCCTCTGCGCCCCTGGCAAAAAAAAGTGTACTGTGACCGCTTACTTTTCTTAATGGATGAGCCGCCCCTGTCCATACATGTAGTCGATCTTAACTATTACTCCTTCCACACAGTTGTATAATATCCACACTGAACTTGATTATATGGCAGCGTGGACTTAGATAATCCAGTTCAAAGCAGATATTGTGGATTATCTGTCTTGATATTCTGGGTTATGTGGCTGTGTGGAAGGGTCCTTAGGTTCATTGAAACGTACCAGCTTCTCAAATTCTATTGCTGTATTTCAAGAAATGCTACTTTTTCATGCAAAACATAGATACACAACAGATTCAAGTTTAGCCATAATGACAGATGCATTTAATTTCAAAGGAAAGTTTCTGATGAAATTGTAAGTTGCAATGCTTTCGATTGAATTTTAATCTGTCCCTTGGGGAGGAATTCCAAAATTTTGGATTCTCCAAACTGCAGGATTGATTGATTCCAAATTGACACTACATTTTTTAAGCACCACATGTTCACCAACAGAGGATGGCATGTTTTCTTCCATTTGGGAAGACTTCTAAACAATTCCAGCCACATGTCAGAGAAAAGGAATGGAAAAGGGGTCCTTTAGGAAACAGCTGTGCAAGCATGTTCTGAATAGTAAAGGTAGACAGTGGCTGCCTTACTACAAGGTTTCAGAAGCGATTGCTCTTTCCCGAGAGGACAGCTTTTATTAAAACCCACATTTATAATCTTGCTACAAATGAATGCATTGATTAGCCCATACAATCAATCAGTGAATGTCTTTGGCCCTTAATCCCTTGTGGCTGAAGACAGCTGTAAATTTGTTCCCTTAGCAGCATTGAATACGAAGATAAATTTATTGTCCTGCCTTGAGCTTTGGGCCCTGAACTGCAAGAAGATGGTAGAGACATTGGAAAAACTCAGGGGAGAGCTACACATTATTTGTTTAATACAAGAAATTTATTTATCGTGTCGGGAGCGAACCATAACAGTTGTGTTGCATTAAAAACAAACAAAACACAAAGTTTGCAGGCTTGGTATTCTATTAAATGTCGTTTGACCAGTAGCTGATCACTTGGAGTGCCTCTGGTGTTACTATAAGAAGGTCCTCCATTGTGCATGTGGCAGGGCTCAGGTTGCATTGCAGCAGGTGGTCTGTGGTTTGCTCTTTTCCACACTCGCATGTTGTGGATTCCACTTTGTGGCCCCATTTCTTAAGGTTGGCTCTGCATCTCGTGGTGCCAGAGCGCAGTCTGTTCAGCGCCTTCCAAGTCGCCCAGTTTTCTGTGTGCCCAGGAGGAAGTCTCTCATTTGGTATCAGCTATTGATTGAGGTTCTGGGTTTTAGCCTGCCACTTTTGGATTCTCGCTTGCTGAGGTGTTCCAGCGAGTGTCTCTGTAGATCTTAGAAAACTATTTCTTGATTTAAGTCATTGGCGTGCTGGCTGATACCCAACGGGGTGGGCCGGAGATGTCACTGCCTTGGTCCGTTCACTATTGGCTTCTACTCCCTGGCGGATGTCAGGTGATACAATACCGGCTAAACAGTGTAATTTCTCCAGTGGTGTAGGGCGCAGACACCCCATGACTGTTTTAGTGTGGTGAGATGTGTTCCATACTGGGCATGCATACTGAGCAGCAGAGTAGCAAAGCGCAAGGGCAGATGTCTTCACTGTGTCTGGTTGTGATCCCCAGGTTGTGCCAGTCAGCTTTTGTATGATATTATTTCTAGCACCCACCTTTTGCTTGATATTCAGACAGTGCTTCTTATAGGTCAGAGCACGGTCCAGGGTAACTCCCAGGTCTTTGGGTGTGCTGCAGTGCTCCAGTGGGATTCCTTCCCAGGGAATCCTCAGAGCTTGGGATGCTTGTCTGTTCTTAAGATGAAAAACACACATCTGTATTTTAGATGGATTAGGGATCAGCTGGTTTTCCCTGTAATAGGCAGTAAGAGCACTTAGAGCTTCAGAGAGCTTCTGTTCAACCATCTCAAAGCTCCCTGCTTAAGCAGTAATGGCACGATCATCAGTGGCAGTGGCTGGTCATTTGTGTAAATGTTGAACATTGATGGAGCGAGCACACTCCCTGTGGCATGCCATTCTTTTTTCGTCATCTACTTCTTTGACCCTGGAACTCAACAATAAAGCTCCTGTTTTGTAGCAGATTTCCTATGAGGCGGGTGAGGTGGTAGTTCTTTGTGATATACATTTTTCTCAGGAGGAGGCTGTGGTTTACTGTAAACCGTAATACAAGAACTATTCGTAATTTTTCTATCATAAATATGTGTTGTTTTTCCCTTGTTGGAGTTTCACTATTTCCACAAATTATATCGTATGGCATATGAGAATCTCCTACTTATCATTTTTTTCTTCACTTATGCAAATTTTCCTTGCAATTTTTGTTTTCCAGAGAACTCTTTCAAAAGTGCTCTACAAATGTATTGAGATCTAGAAGGATTTGACTCTACATTTGTATATGTTGATGTCTTCCCGTCTTCCCTTTGACACAGAACCCTGCAACGATGGTGCCTGCACCGCCTGCCGAAGAAGGGAGTGTGACGGTAGTGGTGCGGGTGCGTCCACAGACCCCGCGGGAACAGGAAGCAAATCGCCAAAGCGTGGTGCAGGTGGCTGGTAACAGCATGCTAGTGTTTGATCCGGAAGAGTCCAACCTGCCCAGCTTTCCTGTGAGTTTCCAAGCCCAGGACTCTGCATCAAAAAGGAAGGGCAAGAATCTGACCTTTGTTTTTGACCGGGTGTTTGGAGAGAACTCTACCCAAGCAGAGGTGTTTGAGAATACAACCAAAGGCATCCTGGACAGTGTCCTGAATGGGTACAACTGCTCTGGTAAGATGGGAGTTGGCTTGGTGATGGTAGCATTGGTGGTGGGGATTTATAATGACACAGGTGATATGGTTACCTGTCACTGTACGGCAATTTTCAAAATGTAGTGGATTGTAATGCCCACCATTTCCTGACAATACAGTTTATGCTTACTAGAGTTGATGGTCAGGTGCTTCTGAAGTGCTTCTGAGTGTGGTAGTGGCTCTTTCTTTGGGGACGACTACCTTGTGGTTAAGAAAAAGACTAGAATTATACTCTGTTGTTGACACCTGTATACTGAATTATCATAGAGTTGGAAGAGACCTCATGGACCATCCAGTCCAATCCCCTGCTAAGAAGCAGGAAAATTGCATTCCAAGCACCCCTGACAGATGGCCATCCAGCCTCTGCTTAAAAGCTTCCAAAGAAGGAGCCTCCACTACACTCTGAGGCAGAGAGTTCCACTGCTGAACTGCTCTCACAGTCAGGAAGTTCATCCTAATGTTCAGATGGAATCTCCTGTCTTGTAGTTTGCAGAAATTGTAAAACTTCATAAACTAAAACAGGACACTGCTTTGCTCCCACCTTTCTATGGTCCCTGTACTAACTGACAAGCATTTTTAAATGGCGCTCTCTCCCCACTTCAGTTTAATTTTGGAAGGACTCATTAGGAGAGTGTATGGACTTGGATCACATGGAATATTTCTAGACTGAGAGGGCAAGATGTGCGTCACACTTGCGCTCTATCTCTGGTCCAAATAACCTTCCTTTCTAATGGCTCGACTGCGTCTTCTCTCCCTCTTCTCATTTTAATATTCAGCATCAGATGTGTGAGTGGAAGGATGACTTTCAAGTAGTTGAGGCTGGCTGTTCATACTTACAGTTTGACCCTGAGGTTTCACCCACTTGTAGTACAATTGTCTGCATATTTACTGAGATTTAACTCATACTGTACATGTGAAGTGGATTACAGCCATAGTGATTATGAGGTAGACATTGAACTGGTCCCATAAAGAGAAAAATTCTCTACACACCGTTTGAAAGAAACTCCCTAAAGTGAAAAAAGGGGTGGTTTTTTTGCTACCAACAGACAAGCCAGTTTGTTAAGAACATGTGAAAGGGAAATGTGTGATTTTATAACCCTTCCTTTATTTTGTTGTTGTTGTTGATTTTCTGATCCTGAAACAAACCTATCATGAGGTTTTCTTGGCAACATTTGTTCATTGAATAATAATAACAATAACATTAATAATAATAATAATAATAATAATAACAACAACACTTTATTTGTACCCCGCTACCATCTCCCCAAGGGACTCAGTGCGGCTTACATGAGGCCGAGCCCAAACACAACAATACAAGCAATAATAACAACAATACAAGCAATTAAAAACATAGACAATAAAATACACAACATTATCAATAAGACAACACACAATTAAAAACAGTGGGAAGGCCAAATGTAGAGTTAAAATTGGAAATAATGCTGGGACATGGACGAAAGGTGATACTGGTGTTTGTGGAAGGGCATACGAGCAGACCTAAAGAAATGTAAAGTGCTTTGGAGGACAAAGTGCTATGGGATCATTATTCCGGGAAGGCACACTGGAACAGCCACGTCTTCAAGCTCCCCCTGAAGACTGCCAGAGTTGGAACCTGTCTGATGTCTTTAGGGAGTGAGTTCCAGAGTCGAGTGGCCACCACCGAAAAGGCCCTCTCTCTCGTCCCCACCAATCGCACCTGCGATGCTGGTGGGATCGAGAGCAGGGCCTCTCCAGATAATCAAAGGGATCGTGTGGGTTCGTATACAGAGATGCAGTCACGCAGGTAGGCGGATCCCAAACTGTTCAGGGCTTTGTAGGTAAGAACCTGCACCTTGAATTGGGTCCGGTAGATGAATGGCAACCAGTGGAGCTCCTTGAACAGGAGGGATGACCGCTCCCTGGCTGCCGCCTGTTGGGTCATCTGAAATTTCTGGGCCGTTTTCAAGGGCAGCCCCACTTAGAGTGCATTGCAGTAATCCAATAATAATAATAATAATAATAATAATAATAATAATAATAATAATGGATTACATTGCAGTAATCCAATAATAATAATAATAATAATAATAATAATAATAATAATAATAATAATATCTTTATTTATATCCTACCCCATCTCCCAAGAGGGACTCATGCCAGCTTACGAAATAGCAGCAATACAACCAGGACAACATAAGACATAAAAAAACAACAATAACTTAATAATACAAGATATACCATGTCAAATCAAAATAAGAAAACAATAAACATAACAAAGGTTAGGAACAGCAAAGACGATGGAACGGTTGAGGATTTGAACAAGAAGACATAGTTTTTATAATGTTATTGTTATTGCTGTTATGATTTTAAATGTATTGTAATGTGATTTTTTAAAAGATTTTAACCGATGTATGTATTTTTATATGACATCTAACTGTGCCGATTTGTACACTGCCCTGAGATGCCTTTGGGCTGATATGGGCAGGCTAAAAGTGAAGTAAATAAATAAATAAATAAATAAAGGTTAAAAGTTAAAACCATAGTATACAACCCCATTTGGAATACCCAGCCACAAGTCAATTAATATCAACACCAGGGTAAACTTCAACCAAGTTAGGTCCTTCCGTTATTGGATGTTCTATTAGCCATTATTGAAGACCTGTTTGAAAAGCCAAGTCTTCAATTCTCTCCAAAAAGTTTCAAGTGTGGGGGCTTGCCTAATCTCCCTGGGGAGGGTGTTCCAGAGCCAGGAGGGCACAATCAAGAAGGTCCTCTCTGTTGTCTCCACCAGCCATGGTTGTGATGGAGGTGGGACTGAGAGGAGAGCCTCTCCAGCAGATCTTAGAGCCCGTGCAGGTTCATAGGGGGAGACATAATCTCATAAATAAGGCTGGACCCGAATCGTATGGGGCTTTGTAGATCATAACCTGCTCTTTGAGTTGGGACTGAAAACTTATAGGCAGCCAGTGGAGCTGCTTTAATAGGGACTTAGTATGTTCTCTATAGCTTGCTCCTGTGAGGAACCTGACCACCAATCTTTGTACTAATTTCCAAGCCATTTTCAAAGGCAGTCCCATGCAGAATGCATTGCAGTAATCCATATGAGATGTAACTAAGGCATGGACCACCATGGCCAGATCCGGCTTCTCGAGGTACGGGTGGAATTGGTGCACAAGTCCTACCGGCCACCGCCAACACCTGGGGCTCTAGGGTCAGCGCTGAGTCCAGAAGGACACCCAAACTGTGGACATGTGTCCTCAGGGGGAGTGTAATTCCATCAAGCACAGCTTGCCACCCTATATCCCAATCGGCATCATGACTGACAAGGAGGACCTCTCTCTTGTCTGGATTTAGCTTCAGTTTGTTAGCCCTCATCCAGCCCATCCAGCCCATCTTGGTCCAAGATCTCGGAAGCTTCCTTGGATTTTGGTGAAAAAGAGTAGTAGAGTTGTGTGTCATCTGCGTACAGATGACACCAAACTCGAAAACTCCAGATGAGCTCACCCAGCGGTTTCATGTAGATGTCTGAATCCTGGTTTCCAGAATCATAGAATCAAAGAGTTGGAAGAGACCTCATGGGCCATCCAGTCCAACCCCCTGCCAAGAAGCAGGAATGTTGCATTCAAATCACCCCTGACAGATGACCATCCAGCCTCTGTTTAAAAGCTTCCAAAGAAGGAGCCTCCACCACACTCCGGGGCAGAGAGTTCCACTGCTGAACGGCTCTCACAGTCAGGAAGTTCTTCCTCATGTTCAGATGGAATCTCCTCTCTTGTAGTTTGAAGCCATGTTCCGCGTCCTAGTCTCCAAGGAAGCGAAAACAAGCTTGCTCCCTCCTCCCTGTGGCTTCCTCACATATTTATACATGGCTATCATATCTCCTCTCAGCCTTCTCTTCTTCAGGCTAAACATGCCCAGCTCCTTAAGCCGCTCCTCATAGGGCTTGTTCTCCAGACCCTTGATCATTTTAGTCGCCCTCTTTCTCTGGACACATTCCAGCTTGTCAATATCTCTCTTGAATTTTGGTGCCCAGAATTGGACACAATATTCCAGGTGTGGTCTAACCAAAGCGAATAGAGGGGTAGCATTAATTCCCTAGATCTAGACACTATGCTCCTATTGATGCAGGCCAAAATCCCATTGGCTTTTTTTGCCTCCACATCACATTGTTGGCTCATGTTTAACTTGTTGTCCACGAGGACTCCAAGATCTTTTTCACACGTACTGAGCCAGGCCTCCCCCATTCTGTATCTTTGCATTTCATTTTTCCTGCCAAAGTGGAGTATCTTGCATTTGTCACTGTTGAACTTCATTTTGTTAGTTTTGGCCCATCTATCTAATCTGTCAAGATCGTTTTGAATCCTGCTCCTGTCATCTGGAGTATTGGCTATCCCTCCCCATTTGGTGTCGTCTTGTATTGTAGTACAATGCTCAAACTAGCATACCAAGTTGACTTCCTCCCTTTATAATTCTCTTTAATTTGAACTGCCTCAGATACCATATATTTGTGAACATTCCCTTGTACCTTGATCTAAGACTTGAAGTATACTAGTGTACCCATTATCCTGTGTTTACCTGAGTGCCCGAGGACACAGCTTCCCACTGCACTAAAAGCTACAAATGAAATCAAAACTCACATAACATGTAACCCTTTGTAACTGTGACATATGACAACAAAGTGATCAGAAATGTACCAAACAAAATCGAACCTGGCAAACCTTTACAAAACTAAAAGACTTCCCAAAAACAGTGGTCCTTATATAAGTATCTGAAATGCTAAATATCTGAAACAAAAGCAGTGCTACAGGAGGTTATGTATTGTAATTGAAATCCAAACTAGAGCTGACATTTATGTGTGCAAATGCAACTAATGTGGACATTATTTGTTTTGTAAATAGCCGCCACAGGGAATGGAGATCAGCTGCTTAGGCTTTGCAGGATGAGAGACATTAGACGTTTAACTCCTTCTACCATTTGTCCTATCAAACACCACTTTCTGAAACTAATTTTGTATTTTGTTGCTTTGTTGCTGAGGGATCCTTCCCTTGAAATGATATTAACACTGTGGGATGGCAGTATGGAGGTACAGAGATAAACTATCCCACCCCAGCTTCTCAAAAATGGCTCCCACAAGGAGGAATTTAGGGCTCGTAACCCCAAAAGTTAACTTTTCAGAGTTTTGCAGCCAGGACTGGATGGTAAGCCCACACGGGGCAGGTAATCTTGTAGGCAATGCCAAATGAGGTAACCAAGGAATCTGTCTGTTCGACCTTATGGGATTCTTTTCACCCTGTTCTTCCTGATGACGTGTACGGGGTCCTTGAGGCTGTGAAGGTGACCGCTTGTGCTCTGGACCCTTGTCCATCCTGGCTAGTTAAACTGGCTAGAGATGGGTTGCTGGATTGGTTTGTTTCCATCGTAAATGCCTCATTGAGTCAAGGGAAATTCCTGTCCTGCTTGAAGCAGGTGGTGGTAAAACTATTACTAAAAAAGATCTCCCTTGACCTTTCTGTGCTAAATAACTACAGACCAATCTCCAACCTTCCTTTCTTGGGCAAGGTGCTGCAGTGGGTGGTCACCTCCCAAACAAAATCGCCTCCCAGCTCCAGGGATTCCTAGATGACACCGATTTTCTAGATAGATCGCAGTCTGGTTTCAGGCCTGGGCACAGTACCGAGACGGCTATGGTTGCCTTGGTGGATGACCTCCACAGGGAACTTGACAGGGGGAGTGTGACCCTGCTGGTTCTCCTGGACATCTCAGCGGCTTTTGATACCATCGATCATGGTATTCTTCTGGGCCGACTCTCCGGGATGGGTCTTGGGGGCACGCTTTTGCTGTGGCTCCGGTCCTTCCTGGAGGATTGTTCTCAGTTGGTGAAGCTGGGAGACCTGCTCAGACCCTGGCCTTTGACCTGTGGGGTCCCGCAAGGTTCCATTCTGTCTCCCATGCTTTTTAATATCTACATGAAACCGCTGGGAGAGGTCATCCGGAGTTTTGGAGCTCGCTGCCATCTCTATGCAGATGACACCCAACTCCACTACTCTTTTCCACCAGAATCCAAGGAAGCCCCTCGGGTGCTGAACCAGTGCCTGACTGCTGTGTTGGTAGGGATGAGGATGAATAGTCTGAAGATCAATCCTGACAAGACAGAGGTTCTCCAGGTCAGTCGTATGTCCGACTGGGGTATTGGGTGGCAACCTGTGCTTGACGGGGTTGCTCTCCCCCTGAAAACACAGGTCCATAGTTTGGGGATCCTCCTAGACTCAGCGCTGACACTTGATGCTCAGTGGCTGGGAAGGTCTTTGCACAATTAAAACTCGTGCGCCAGCTGCGACCATACCTCATGAAGTCTGACTTGACCACGGTGGTCCATGCCTTAGTTACCTCTAGATTAGATTATTGCAATGCACTCTACATGGGGCTTTCCTTGAAGACAGCCCGGAAACTCCAATCGGTCCAATGTGCAGCAGCCAGATTAATAACTGGGGCGAGTTACAGGGAGCGGTCAACCCCCCTGTTCAAGGAGCTCCATTGGCTGCCATTTATCTTCCAGTCCCAATTCAAGGTTCAGGTCATCACCTATAAAGCCCTGAATGGTTTGCCTGCCTACCTGCGTGACCACATCTCCTGCCACCAACCAGCACAACCTCTCAGTTCCTCCAGGGAGGCTCTCCTCTCGCCTCTCCCACTGTCACAGACCAGATTGGCGGGAACGAGGGAGAGAGCCTTCTCTGCTGTGGCTCCCCATCTTTGGAACTCACTACCTATTGAGATTAGGCAAGCCCCCTTCTTAGTAGACTTTAAGAAAAATCTGAAAACCTGGCTTTTTCAATGTGCCTTTAAAGAGTGACCATCCACACCAATTGTGTTGCCCCAGCTATCATGTTGCCCTATGATGCACTTTCCCCATTCTAAACTGAAAGCCAGTCCCCACTGTTTCATTTTCTTGGGCCCCCCTTATTTGTATATTTTACATCTACCTCACCCAGGGTTTTATCATTTTATTTTGTTCATTTGGCCTGCCCATCCTATTTGATTTTATATTCTCTTTTACTATTGTATTTTGTTATTGTAATTTATTCTTATTTTTATTTATTATTTTTTGATGTATTTTGTCTTGTATTTTGCATTTTGTGTTCTGTATTGTTTTTTAGAAGGGTTTGGCCTCATGTTAGCCGCCCCAAGTCCCCTTTGGGGAGATGGTGGCGAGGTATAAATAAAGATTATTATTATTATTATTATTATTATTATTATTATTATTATTATTATATGTTTAGGCCTTGGCCATAAAGCACTATAAGGCACATAAGGGTAGGATGAGGCACCACTTTATTACTAGAGTTTGGAAAATGACTCAATGGGTCTTACACTTCTCTTTACAGTTTTTGCCTATGGTGCAACAGGTGCTGGGAAAACCCACACCATGTTGGGCTCAGAGAAGGAACCAGGCATCATGTACCTCACCATGCGGGAGCTCTACAAGAAAATTGAGGCCAGGAAGGAGGAGAAGAATTGTGAGGTGCTCATCTCATATCAGGAGGTACTACCCTTCCAGTTCTTTTCTTACAAGCTTCCCCTCTCTTGGAGGGGAAGGACAGCTCAATATCCAATTTGCACATCATGGGAAACTCATAATCTTGGTTTAATCAACTGCGATAAGCCAGGGTGCCATGTATATGAGTCTCTTCCTATGTAAACACCAAAGCAAGCAAGATCTGGGGCGGAAAGAAAGTCTTCTTGTTTTGAAACTGGCTTGTTTTGAAGCACTTAACCTGGTTTCGGTTTAGCAGGAAACTGTGTTTACATCTTATATCCTGGTTATTTTTCCTTCTTGTGAAAAGGAAGGAGGAAAATCAGGCTGTGTATGTTCATGTGTTGCTCAAACATCTGACTAATCGACCCAGGATTTTGCTGTTCACGTAGTGATCATAATATCCATTACAGTGGGCCTGCACTCACAATGTGGTCCCACTTTTGTATTATGTCATTGTTAGCTGCCTTGCATCCCTATGGGGAGAAAGGTGGAATAAAAATAAATTATTGTTTTTATTATTGTTGTTCTTATTACAGTATGCAACAAATTTTGATTTTTTTTTTCTGTTCCTGTTTTGAAAGTATTATTTCCTGTTTAATTGTGTGGTACTTACTTTGAAAGTAGTTATTATACTCCAGAAACTTCATTTTTGTGACTGCCATAAACTGTGTTGAATTGGTTGAGACTCTATGATGTATTCATTGAAAAACTATGCAAAATGTTCTACAGGATGTCCCACAAAAACAAAGTTTTTGCAGTTTAATAAACTTATTCCTTTTTTAATAGAACCAATGACATTTATAATCCAGGAAAGAAATTGTATTACATAGTGTTAACAAAGTTTTTGGAGTTTAATAAACTTATTCCATTTTTAATAGAACCAATGACATTTATAACCTAGGAAAAAAATCGTGTTACATAGTGTTATTCTTATTATTCCCTTTAATATGTACCGATTCAAGTCAAACATTGGATCTGTTCTCAGTCATCTTTTCCTCCTTTTAGTCAGCTGGACTGTCCAACCTCAGTTTAAGGAGCCTTATGGATGTGTTTACGTTCATCCTCAATTGTGATCAATCTTGTCTCCCCACCCATTGAGAATTTTTGTAAAATACCTCTGCAAAAATGTGCTTTGGTTTGGTGATGAGGACTGGGGGAACACAAGTGAAAATACTTTCACTAGCCAATAATCATCCAAATACTTCATTTTTTAAACAACAATCCTATATCCACTTACCTAGACGCACGCTTCAGTGAACACAATGGAGCTTTCAAATAGACATGTATTCAATTGTGCTGTAAAAACCTTTTAACTGGTTGAGCTAACTAATTACACTGTTATATGTTACAGCCCTAATTATTACAGATGTGAACTCTTCCATGTGGCATAACTAATTGCAGTTTAGATTTATATGTACCTACTTGCAGAGATTACATATCAGGCCAATGAGTGACTACCATTCATAAAAACACTGAAAAACGCAGCAGAAGAGACAAAAAACAAAGAATACATTGCAACGCATGCGCAAAGCCACATATATACATGTGGTTATATGCATGTGGTATATAAACACACATATATACACACACATATATGCATATACACACACACAAAACACATATACTTAGACTGGACCACAGCCACGCATGGCAGGGGACGGCTAGTCACATAATAATACTCATAACATGCTTGCTATGCAGGATACACCCAAAGCTTGCCATTGTAATTTTCACATTTCTTTTTCACCGGTGGGCGTTCTCCTTGTCTGCAAAACATACCAGTACCCATCACCAACTTAAGTGAAAGCATTGCAAAATAAAAAGAATCTTAAATTCTTAACCTAACAAACCTGAACAGGAGTGAACTTCCATTGTGTAGGCATTGCAAAAACACTATCCTGGATTGTTTCAATTGTAAGTGCGAACAGAGGTAGAAAGGCTCTCCCAAATTTGATCCTTTTGGGCAGATTCTGCCTTTAGTTTTCCTCTAAAGAAGCCATCATAATTTTTTTAGATGCCGGCTCACTATTAGGCCTGGGCAATCCATGGTTCTAAATGATTCTAAAGTACTTACAAAACTAAAGTTCTGGTGGTGAAAATTTCAGAACTCTAACAAAACTCTCAAAATTTCATTATAAATGGCAGTTCCTAATTGGTTCTGTCATAAAAAATCACCAATAATGAAATAATAATTAAATTTTGAAAGTTTTGTTAGAGTTCTGAAATTTTCACCACCAGAACTTTAGTTTTGTAAGTGCTTTAGAACCATTTAGAACCACGGATTGCCCAGGCCTACTCGCTATAATACTGAATTAATATGTCAATTTTCCCAGTGCCCAAAACAAAAGAATGTGCCCCTTGTTTGGTGTTTTTTTTTCTGGGCATCTAAAACATGATTGACTGAAAGAGTGGGAAGAAAATCTTTTGTTGTTTGGATATATAAAATGGACATATATTTGTACATTGAAAATTTACTTTTTTGGACGAAAACTCCTGGAATCCTTCATCTAGCAGGTCTAATGGCTAGTTGGATGGCAATTCAAGAAGTTCTAGTCCAGGAAATTACATTGTCAAGCTCAGATCTATACATGGCAGGTGTTGGAGCATCAGAGAACTAGTGATTCCAAGAGGCTGACCTAAATGAACTGAAGCCTGACTCTTTCTTTTAGGTGTATAATGAGCAAATTCATGACCTCTTGGACCCAAAAGGACCGCTAGCCATCCGGGAAGATCCAGAGAAAGGGGTTGTGGTGCAAGGTCTTTCATTTCATCAGGTGGGTATGATGATTGGCTTGAAGAGAGAACAATACTGGGAGGATTTCAAGAAAGACTTGGAGAATTATCAGAAAAAATAGCCACCCCCGTGCATTGAAAAGTAGGATTAGGTAAAGGTTGTCCCCTGACATTAAGTCCTGTCATGTCTGACTCTGGGGTGTGGTGCTCATCTCCATTTCTAAGCCGAAGAGCCGGCGTTGTCCATAGACACCTCCAAGGTCATGTGGCCGGCATGATTGCATGGAGCGCCGTTACCTTCCCGTCAGAGCGGTACCTATTGATCTACTCACATTTGCATGTTTTCGAACTGCCAGGTTGGCAGAAGCTAGGGCTGACAGCAGAAGCTCCCGCTGCTCCCCGGAATCGAACCTGCGACCTTTCGATCAACAAGCTCAGCAGCTCAGTTCTTTAACGCACTGCGCCACCGGGGGCTCCCTCCTGAATGCTGCTTCTCTCCCTCCCTCCCTCCTCCTGAACAGAGCCGTACCTTATGGCACCTGGAAGCGGGGGTGCCTTGGTGTTTTCATTTTTAGGGGAGATTGTTCCTAGGGTTATTTGGGGTGCTGATTCGGAAAATTGCATTGGATAGACCACATCAGCTCTAGATTATTAAATATAGTTTTCTGTGGGAGAGCAGATGGTGACTACTGGATGGCTTATGTTCTGTATCAGAAACAAGAGCTGATGTTGTCTATCCAATACGGTTTGCTGAATCAGCACCCCAAATAACCAAACTGAATCTAAATGTGACCAAAAACTGATTTGTAACCTTTGGGTACTGATGTTGGAGAGTGGTCCCTGGTCAAAGTGGGCCTTGGTCAAGCAGTCCCTAGTCAAAAGTGGTCCCTGGTCAAGAAAAGGTTGGTAACCACTGGACTAGATATAAGACTGTAGTGAATGATTGTGAAAACTTAGGATGGAAATAGAACAATGGACAAGGCAAAGTGGAATCATGGAGGTGCCAAAGATGTGAAGAACTGGCTTGTGGGTGCAGCTGAAAGAGGCATAGTGATCTTCTTGTAAGGTGGACAGCAGATCGCTATGGTAGATTTCAAGTGATGGGGAAGTTTCAGCCTCCTGGATGTTGTTGGACTGCAATCTTTCTCGCAGGATGTGCTTGCCAAGACTGATAGAAGTAGAAATCCACAAACATCTGGAGATCAATATATTCTCATTCTTAGGATGTGTCTTGGTTTCTTGATGTGCCACTTACTAGTATAACTGGGTAAGGGACACTCTATTCAGTGCTCTATGAGGGTTGAATGAAAAGTAATGCCTCGACCTTCGTAACTCCTCAACAGATGGCAGTACTGATATGCAGCAGGTACTGGCTTGTTCAGTAGACTCTCCTCTACAGTTCTATTTTGGCAGGAAGCCTTAGCATTGAACGGTTGTGTTGTTAAAGTATGGGACCTTGCGCAGACGGTCAGTCAATGCGACTTAAGCAATGTGCAGTCATTGAATTCTTGACAACAGAAGGTGTCACCCCAAAGGAGATTCATCAGCTGTTTATGGTGATTATGTTGATGTGAGTACTGTGTGTCGTTGGGTGAGTAAGTTTAAAGATGTTGAGGTGGTACTTGCGTGACAAACAAAGACTTGGACGTCCTGTGACAGCAACCACCGAGTTTCACAAGCAAAAGGTTGACAGATTGATTCAGGACAATCGTCGTATCACTCAGAGAGAAATTTTAAGTATAATCGGCATTTCACAAGAACGGGTGGGTCACATTATTGCTTTGCTTGGCTATCGGAAGATCTGTGCACGATTGTTCCTCAGGATGCTGACACCTAAAATGAAAGTGCACAGACTTGAAACTTCAGAGACTGGATCTCACCACCATATGACATCCTCCATACAGTTCAAATTTAGCACCGCCTGACTTCCATCTGTTCCTGATAAAGAAGATCTGCGGGGACATCATTATGCTTCTGATGAAGACGTTGAGAGAACTATGAGACGCTGGTTGCGGAAACAGAGTGTCGACTTTTTCTGTGACGGCTTCAGAAAAGTTGTTAATCGTTGGCAGAAATGTATCCAATTGTCCGGTGATTATGTGGAAAAGCGAATAGTGGTAGTTAAAGAGCACATTCTAAGGAGTATTTCTGCATTTGATTTATTAAAATATTCCCATCCAAATCCAAGTAATGAAGGTGGAGGCATTATTTTTCATTCGACCCTTGTAAAAATGTCAGGGTTTGTTTTTAAAGGCCATCTACATTTTTAATGCAGGTAACGGTCTTCATGTGGTCAGATTTCTGATGTGCCTTACTGTTTCCAGTAACAAACTGACAGTGTGCGGGGGCTAGAAATAGCCTCTTAACATGCCAGAGTACATTTAATATATATGCTGTATAAAAGAGCCTTGTTAAGAGAGGTTCATGTCCTCCCCCAGCCCTTGTGAATGAGAAAGTGAATAAGAAGCCTCTCCCCATTGGCCATGATTGTAGGACATATTCCATCAGCATCATCTCTTTCTCTCTGGTGTTTCTGCCTCCTTTTAGCCGAAAACTGCAGCCCAGCTCCTAGAGATGCTAAGGCAAGGAAATCTGAACCGCACACAGCACTCGACAGATATTAATGCCACGTCTTCACGGTCCCATGCAGTCTTTCAGGTAAGTGTGGCAAGGTTTTTTAAACATTGTCAGGGAGGCGCTGCAGTCAGAAGGGAATTCTTTCCTCTCTTGATGTAACTGTTGTGCAAAAACCAGCTACATTCTCACCAAGTCTGTTACCCAGTGTGGCTTCTGACACTTGTGAGACTACTGCCGGAAGAGATCTGAGCTGTCAGAATTTAAAACCCATCTGAAGACCTACCTCTTCCGTCAGGCCTATCCAGTCAGTTTTAGTGGTTAGCTTTACAACTTCCAAGTCACCCAGTTTTCTGTGTGCCCAGGGGGGAGTCTCTCATTTGGTATCAGCCATTGATTGAGGTTCTGGGTTTGAGCCTGCCACTTTTGGACTCTCGCTTGCTGGGGTGTTCCAGCGAGTGTCTCTGTAGATCTTAGAAAACTATTTCTTGATTTAAGCTGGCTGATACCCAAACAGGGGATGAGCTGGACATGTCACTGCCTTGGTCCTTTCACTATTGGCTGCTACTTCCCAGCGGATGTCAAGTGGTGCAATACCGGCTAAACTGTAATTTCTCCAGTGGTGTAGGGTGCAGACACCCCGTGATAATGCGGCGTGTCTCATTAAGAGCCACATCCACTGTGATGAGATGTGTTCCACACTGGGCGTGCATACTCAACATCAGAGTAGCATAGCGCAAGGGCAGATGTCTTCACTGGGTCTGGTTGTGATCCCCAGTTGTGCCAGTCAGCTTTCGTATGATATTGTTTCTAGCACCCACTTTTTGCTTGATATTCAGGCAGTGCTTCTTGTAGGTCAGAGCACGATCCAGAGTAACTCCCAGGTATTTAACGATGATTAAATTAATTGAGATGCTAAAATGATGCTCTCTAAGATTCACCGCTTTGGGAAGATCTACTTGAAAGTGGAAAGTCCAGAGGTTCAATGAGAAGCTCCCTTTTCTGTTCTTTGGACAATCCAGTGCCGTGGTATTCGTACTAAGGAGTGCATTCTTTTCCTTTTTTGCAGATCTACGTGAAGCAGCAGGATTGTATGATAGGCACAACTCGCGACTTGCAGGTGGCCAAGATGAGCCTGATAGACTTGGCAGGATCTGAGCGGGCCTCTGTAGCAAACACCAAGGGAGAGAGACTCCGAGAAGGTGCCAACATCAACCGCTCCCTGCTGGCCCTCATCAATGTCATTAATAGCCTGGCTGATGCCAAGGTACAGTTTTGCGACTTTTCCCTGTCTCATGGCATATGTTGGTGTGTTCAATACATGTTCCAGATTTAATCTGGTCCATGAGGTCATGAAGAGTCGGAAACGACTGAACGAATGAACAACAACAATTCCAGATTTGGTCTTTTTTGGTCAGAAAACCAAAATGACATTTTCAAGAATCACAACTGACATCTTAAAAGATTATAGGATTTCCATTTGGTGTGTGTGTGTGTGTGTGTGTGTGTGTGTCAGGAGCGACTTAAGAAACTGCAAGTCGCTTTTGGTGTGAGAGAATTGGCCATCTGCAAGGACGTTGCCCAGGGGACGCCTGGATGTTTTACCATCCTGTTCTCACATGAGAAGTTGGAGTTGACAGACAGGAGCTCACCCTGCTCCCCAGATTCGAACCGATGACCTTTCGGTCAGCAGTCCTGCTGACACAAGGGTTTAACCCATTGCGCCACTGGAGATTCCTAGGATTCCAGTGAACCATTTATTTATTTATTTATTTATTTATTTATTATTTACACTATTTCTATCCCGCCCATATCAGCCCAAAGGCGACTCAGGGCGGTGTATAAGTCGGCACAATTCGATGCCATAAATAAAAATACATCTATATAAATAAAAATGTAATGTTCGTTTGTGGGATTAACATAACTCAGAAACCACTGGATGAATTGACACCAAATTTGGACAGAGTACACCTAACAACCCAATATATGTCTTTCACTCAAAAAAATTGATTTTGTCATTTGGGAGTTTACTGGGATTTATAGTTCACCTACAAACAAAAAGCATTCTGAACCCTATGAATGACAGAATTGGGGAAAACTTCCCACACAGAACCCCCATGACCAACAGAAAATATTTCAGGCCACCCAGTCCAACTCCCTTCATGAGGGCAAGAAAACATAATCAAAGCCTTCCTGAGAAAGAGCCATCCAGCCATAGATATAGATATATATGATTCACACACACAAAGAGATATAGTATTATAGATTTGAAAGAGACCCTTAAAGAAGGACAATTATATGTTGCATGTTGCAGAGTAGGCAAACCAGGCAATCTCCACATCAACACTGGCAAAGAAATGACAAGAAATACTGTTTACCCACAAACATAAAGAAATTACATATATTAGATACCAAAACTTCCTCATTATTTTATTTTCCAGATCACCAGACTGAGCCACAGCAACGTGTGGCAAGGGATGGCTAGTACATTAATAAAAGTAGAAAAAACATCACAGTACATTTAAAACCATAAAAACAATGAACAATACAATTTTAAAACTATGTCTTCTTGTTTGATCCTCATCCGTTCCATCGTCTTAGCCGTTCCTAGATCATTTTCCAATTCAAGTTTGTCTGGTTATGCTGAAGTTCCGAATGCTTGCTCGCAGAGCCAAGTTTTCACTCTTTTTCGAAAAGTCAGGATGGAGGGGGCCAATCTAATATCCCTAGGCAGGGAGTTCCACAGCCGAGGGGCCACAACAGAGAAGGCCCTGTCTCTCGTCCCTGCCAGACGTGCTTGTGAAGCAGGCGGGATCGAGAGCAGGGCCTCCTCTGACAAGCTCAAGTTCCATTTAATGACACAATGTCTCTTTTTCAGAAAGATCTGGATTCCCCGATCCATACAGCTAAAGTATGTCTAGAATGTATTGGCAACATGTGGTCTACTACATGATGTTGGGCTGCAAACCCCATCAGCCGTTGCCAGAATGACCAAAGTGGAGTTAGGGTAGCAGTCATTCCAAGATCATCTTAGTTGAAATGTTGCATTCCTGCTTGAATCTAGAGGAATTGCTTTTCTGAAGAAATATGGCCAAGATGTATATTTTCCTTTAATGTTTGTGGAGTTCAGTGTTCCGATATTGCTTTTTAAATAGAGATTTATGGAAAAACTCACACCTAAAATGTAGTATTTTCCCCTTAAAAGATGTACTTCAGTTTCACCACAAGAGGGTATAGTTAGAAACCTTATACTGCAGTCCTTTGTGTGTTTACTCAGAAGTAAACATTTCCGTGGGCTTCACTTGTTGGCAGCAACATGGGATTTGTAGAAAAATTGAAATTGGAACATTTTATTAAAAATAATTTTCTAAATTAATTTTTCTCTGATTTAACATGTTTAATTTACATTCAAATGCATTCAAAGTTTTATGTGGAAATAACTTTATGTGGATGTTTGTTTATTTGAATGTTTGTAATAATGTAAATAGCCTACTATACCTATTCCTTATATTTAAAATATAACTAAACCTGAATACTATTTTTCTTTTTGTGGACACATAGAGAACCGTACTTTATTATATTTTATATCAATAGTAGAATGGTTTTTTTGCCGAAGCATAGCTGTAGTACCTTCAACTTTAGTTACTCTGCACTATTTATCAGTCCCATTTCAGTTCAAGAAAAATATTATTCCGTACATCTACTAGAACATTCTATTTCACCAAAGGATGGATGTGTCTGTGGACACGGGCAACTTATCATATTTTCCTAGATTATTTATACTTATGATGGAGAAGGGAAAAAATTGCAAAACAAAAAAAAAGTTCAGCAGTGCATTTATTTGTTAGTCTATTTTTTTCTGAGAACTAACGTTTGTCAGTGCTATGCTTTCCCAGAAGAATAACTAAAAGTTCATATCCATATTTAGCCTACACTAGCCGTTCCCTGCCATGCGTTGCTGTGGCCCAGTCTGGTGATCTGGAAAATAAAGTAATGAGAACGTGTTGGTTTCTAATATATGTAATTTCTTTATGCTTGTGTTGATGTAGAGATTGTCTGGTTGGCCTACTCTGGAGCATGCAACATGGAATTTTATTTATTTATTTATTTATTTATTTATTTATTTCGGTCATTTATACCCCGCCTTTCTCACCCCCTAGGGGGGGACTCAAGGCAGCTTACATCCGGCACAATTCAATGCCCACAATTGTCCTTGTTTAGATGTCCCTTTCAGATCTATGATACTATATCTGTGTTTGTGTGGGTCATATCTCTCTCTATATATTTATGGCTGGATGGGTCTTTGTCAGGAGGGCTTTGATTACATTTTTTTGCCCCGGAGCAGGGAGTTAGACTGGACGGCCTTAAGAATTTTCTGTTGGTCATGGGGGTTCTGTGTGGGAAATTTGCCCATTTCTGTCATTGGTGAGGTTCAGAATGCTCTTTGATTGTAGGTGTGTTAGAGACCCTAAATTGGGTCTTCTTAGGTCCACATCACTGGAATACGTAAGGAAGGAGACAGTCCCAAAAAAGATAAAAAAACAAGGTTTATTTTAGTTTCTTCATGAAGAAGATGGACAGCCTGGCAGCATACGCAGTTGCTACCCTTCAAGTGACTGCCGCGCCCCTCCTCTTTTTCTGCTGACTTTTATACTCAAGTAATAGGTCATGGAAAGTACTCTCTTTCCAGCCCCTCTCCCTTGACCTTTTGATGGAAAGTACCTTATTGTACCTGCAGACTCTGCTTAACCACAACCTTTGAACTTAACCACAACACAACTTCCAACCTCTACATGTCACATCTTGTTTCTTAAAAACATTTTCTTCCCTGTTGCTCCTTTTCTACCGAGAAAGGTCATGTTTCTCTTTTGCTGTTAATTTCATTCAAAGCACCTTGCTTAGCATTTGCAAATTTCACTCAAAGACCCTTTCAAAATCCCAGTAACTACAAATCCCAAATGTCAAGGTCTATTTCCCCCAAACTCCATCTGTGTTCATATTTGGGCATATGGAATATCTGTGCAAAGTTTGGTCCAGATCCATGATTGTTTGAGTCCACAGTGCTCTCTGGATGTAGGTGAACTACAACTCCCAAACTCAAGGTCAATGCCCACTAAAGTGTTTTCTGTTGGTCATGGGAGTCCTGTATGCCATGTATGTTCAATTCCATAATTGGTGGAGTTCGGAATGCTTTTTGATTTTGGGTGTACTATAAATCCCAGCAACTGCAACTCCCAAATAACAAATAGTAGGTTACATACCTGTGACCATCTTTCTTCGAGTGGTGCTCTGCGAATTCACACTTGTGGAGAGACTGCGCCTGCGTGGGCTCCAACGGAAACTTCTACAGTTTAAACTTTTCAAGTTTTGGCGGTAACCCCGCCCAGCCCCGGCAGGGGATAAAAGGGCGCCCCGCGCATACCGACACAATTCCTACGCCGCTACGGCAGCGAGAAATTGGAGGTTTGACTGAGGGGAGGCTGGGCGGGTTAGTGTGAATTCGCAGAGCACCACTCGAAGAAAGATGGTCACAGGTATGTAACCTACCATTTTTCTTCGTGGTCTCTGCGAATGCACACTTGTGGAGACTAGCAAGCTCAGGTCCCGGAGGCGGGAAGAAGGCAAACCGACTAATAAAGCCAAGGGCCAAACAATTTTATTAAGTGCAAACAGTTACTGAACAAGAGATTGTAATCACTTCCGGAGAAGGGCACAGTGCATAAGCTTGCGGGAGTACGTGATCCTCCCGGCCACATGAGGATGGCCAATTCAATAAGTGAGGGCATTCTTGAACAATTACATAAACCTTTGACCCTTGGTAAACAACAAACATACTCATTGTGGAAAACACTCATTGCAATGAGGGCACTTTAAGTAGTTACACAAAACACTATTGTCAACAAGTGCAAAAAAAAACACATTTGCAAGGCAAAATGGTCGATAGCAAAACAAAACATTACCCGTAATGAGCCCCATGAGGCCAGAGTGCAAGGTTGCCTGTGCCTTAGGAGAGAAAGGCATCAAGTATAACAGGTGCAATTACATTCACCATCATCGGTAAACAGCTCTATTCGAGCAAACACATGGCAATAACATTCACAACAATACACGGTACCGAGGAGGTTCACGGTACCGACGCAGCAAAAAACTTTTACAGAATTCTAAGGCGGACACGACTCCAGAATTGCCCTCCCAAAGGCCATGTCAGGTGTATACCTGGTATTTAGTCTGTAATGTGAAACAAATGTCTGAGGATTTTTCCAAATGGCCGCCTTACAAATAGCGTCCAGAGGAATCCCCTTAAGGAAGGCTGTCGATGCCGCCATTGCCCTGGTTGACCGAGCCCGGACAACCGAGGGAGGTTGTTTTCAAGCCAGCTGGTAACAAAGCTCGATGGTCGAGGTGATCCAGTGAGACACACGTTGCGCCGTAATCGGCAAGCCCACCTTATCATGGGCATATGAAACAAACAGTTGTTGGGTTCTCCGAGACTGAGCAGTTCTGTCCCTGTAACATAGCAATGCTCTCCGCACATCGAGCATATGGAGTCTTTTCTCCGTCGGGGTAGAGGGAGATTGACAAAACGAGGGAAGGACAATGTCTTCATTAACATGGAAAGGGGTCACAACTTTAGGGAGGAATGTCACGTCTGTGCGGAAAACTGCTCTGTCCTTGTGGACAACAAGGTACGGTTCGTCCACACGCAGTGCCGCGAGTTCTGACGGCCTACGGGCCGAGGTGATCGCGACCAGAAAGGCCACCTTCCAAGACAGCAGCCGGAGGTTGATCGACGTCAAAGGTTCGAAGGGTGCTTGTGCGAGCCGAGCCAGCACGAGGTCGAGGTCCCAACCCAGAGTTGAAGAGCGGACTGGGGGATGCAGGTTGTTGAATCCCCGCAGGAAAGACTTCACGGAGCTATCCTTGAATAGGGAGGCTTCTCCTGTTCTCTGGAGCTGCCAAGAGAGGCCGCTAGGTGAGACTTGAGCGACGATAGCGACAAGCCCCGTTCGGTAAGGTGCAGTAAGAACAAGAGAATTGACGGTACCGAAGGCCGATGATCGTCTAGCCCTTTTTCGGAGAGGAAGGCCTGGAAGCGGTTGAGGCACGCCGAATAGCATTTCTTAGTTGCTGGCTTATGAGCTGCAGCCAGGATCGGAAGAACCCCTGGGCACAGGGACCTCAGAACTGGATCCTCCACGCCGAAAGATGAAGAGAAGCGAGGTCGGGGTGGAGTAGCTGACCGTCTTCCCGGGAGAGCAGATCCTGCCGAAGTGGAAGGCGCCTCATCCGTCCCTTGGACAACTGGAGGAGGACCGAGAACCGCGGTTGTCGTGGCCATTCCGGCGCTATTAAGATGCAGTTCGTTTGCGCCGATTGGATCCTCTCGATCACCCTCGGGATGAGCGGGAAGGGCGGGAAGAGGTAGAGCAGATGTCTCGACCAATCTAGGAGGAATGCGTCTCCGAGACACCCTGGTACCGTGTTCGGAGCAAGCCGAGCACC